GCTCTTCGGATTCATCCCCTTCGCATGCCTTCTCCCGCCACTTGGCATCCCACTCCTCACAGGCCTGTCTTCAAAGACGCCCTTCCCAACTTCACAGCAAAGCTAATCCCTTCCCTTCCCAAGCTGCTCTGCACCAGGTGCCTCATTTGATCTTCTTAGGATTTGAAATGATATCTGTATGCTCGTACTGTTCCTTTACAGGCTGTAAATGTCACTGAAATGTAAGCTAATGAGAGAGAGCCAGGTCCTGTTATAAAAACATTTTTGCCCAGATCACACAAGCCAGAATGCAGATATAAAACACTGCGCTTCTAAAATGCACAAAATTCATCACAGAAACTGCATCTATTTGATTCATTTACAATAATGCCCAACAGACATTAAGCATTCCTCGACTTCCTGAATGATAATCTCCTGAAGATAATAATAGCAGAATATACTTTCTTCCCAGCAGAGAGATGCATGCCCCATCCTACCAAGCCCAAGGGCTTGAATCACCAGAATTACTTTCATATATCACTGTCATACAGAGAATTTACAGTGGCAACTGTCTTGAGGGATGGCCTCTTTGCATGGCGTCCTCACCTCCACAGCCATTGCCACATGCTGAATCAAAAGGGGTTGACGTTTGCAACAGGCTAGGTGTTTCCTGGTGCCAAGAGACAGGCAGCAGATGTCAGACTGATAAAAAGAGGTGGGGAGGAAGCAACTTCCTCAGGAAGCTGTGGGGAGGCCCTGGTCCCTCAGGCAGAAAGAACATGAGCTATCAAAGACTTCAACAGAGTGACACCACCAGCCTGGCACAGCAAAAGAAGCCAGCCCACCACATGGCTAGAACCTTTGGCCTTAGGAACTTCAAGAGACATTAGAAAAAGCTAATTACGAAACAGCAAATGATAATGATTTCCTTGAATTTCATTTTGCTGTTCTGGGACTCTGAAGAAGTCATCTGCCTTTGATGTTGGGTGAGACAAAGAACTATTGAGGTGGTCATACAACCAAGAGCACAGTATGCTGTTTGGGGATAGCAACTCAAGAGAAACAAGAGAGAGAGGCAGGTACTGTGTAATCTTTGAACAGAAGATTACACAAACTAGAATGAAGATATAAAATACTGGGAAGAAGTTACCATTCTAGGCAAGTCTCAAGAATGTGAGTCTTATAAATGGATACTAGCCATATAATATAGAATAAACATACTAAAATCTGTACACCTAAAGAAGCTAAGCAAGAAGAAGAACCCTGGGTAAGATGATCAATCCTCACTCAGAAAAGCAAATAGAATGGACATTGGAAGAAGGAGAAAACAGGAAACAGGACAGGAGCCTACCACAGAGGACCTCTGAAAGGCTCTACCCAGCAGAGTATGAAAGCAGATGCTGAGGCTCATTAACCAAACTTTGGGCAGAGTGCAGGGAATCTTATGAAAGAAGAGGGGGGAATAGTAAGACCTGGAGGGAACTGGAGCTCCACAAGGAGAGCAACAGAACCAAAAAATCTGGGCACAGGGGTCTTTTCTGAGACTGATACTTCAACCAAGGACCATTCATGGAGATAACCTAGAACTCCTGCTCAGATGTAGCCCATGGCAGCTCAGTCTCCAAGTGGGTACCCTAGTAAGGGGAACAGAGACTGTCTCTGACATGAACTCAGTGGCTTGTTCCACCCTGAGGGGGTACAGCCTTGCCAGTCCACAAAAGAGGACAATGCAGCCAGTCCTGATGAGACCTGATAGGCTAGGGTCAGACCCTTTCCCATCAGTGGACTTGGAAAGGGGCATGGGAGGAGATGAGGGAGAGAGGGATTGGGAGGGTATGAGGGAGGGGGCTACAGCTGCGATTCAAAGTGAGTAAACTGTAATTAATATAAAAAATAAAAATTTTAAAAAATGAAAAAAAAAAGAACGTGAGTCATGCAGCAACTCCTTGTGGAGTGAAACAAAACAGTGTGATGGTGCAGTGTCACGTAGAAATGTCATTTCTGCCGCTTTTAACCTTCAGAAAGCAAGAGCGGCCTAGATAAGAAAGCGCAGCCCATGCTAACCAGAAAAGCATGACATACTAGTCCTTTTTTGCACCAACTCCTTCTCACTTGGGTTCTCATGGGGTTAACGTCTAGCGAGGCTCTGCTTTGGAGAAGTCACGATAGCCAGTAGAAAACACAAACGCACAGAAGCCAGGAGATAAGAGCATCCCTACGAACGTTCAGCGAATGGAGAGGAGCCTTCTGACAGGGCTCCTCCTCAGGAAGAGAGTGAAGAGACCTAGGAGGAGTTCACTCTCATCAGTAGACAGACTACTATGAAAAGCGTGATGCTTGAGGGCCAAGAGGCAAATAAGCCTCTTAAGTTAGACTAGATGAAGGACAGTGCTTTAATCTGCCCTCTGCACTGCCAAAGATGGGGCTTTCTGCATGTGGGGTGGGGAGGGGCATGCACATAAGCACACTTATTAAATAAACAAAGGAATGAATGTGAGATTAAATCTGCCCATTCACCATTTTGTAGCTACTGCCCTGGGTATTCCCAGATTTCCTACTTGACTTGTCTGGGTTCAGAGATATGGTGTATCCTTGACTATGTGCAGGTACTTTTGTTACTTCTCTAACAATGTGACAACATCTAAAGAAAGTTCACACAACCAAGAGGAGAGCATTTCACAGATGTTGTGAACACCTTCACATTTGGGAAGCTGAAGGAAAGCTATTGCGACAAGAAGAGAAAGATGAGGAAGACGGTGAAAACAACTGATCTGTAATTAATCCCACGACTACCGTAGCCCCCAAATAAAGAACTAATATTTTATAACATGGACTTCTAAGAGGCTACCAGTACCTATGGATTTCCATGTTTTCATTTTAAGAAATATACCCAGGGAATATTCATGTTTCTGCAACTAATGTGCTGAGCGACTGCAAGCAAGGAGCTTGACCTTCCTTACCCTCCCAAGAGGAAGGATGATGGAGGGAAGCTGCCAATGGTGGTGGGCCCACTCTTCAGAGGAGGGTCACACTCCTGACCTGCTCAGATGCTCTGCCCACCCCCAGATGCCCCTGCATTTTCAGAGGCTCGCTCTCAAATCTCTACAGAACGGTGCTATTAAAAGTGGCCCCTGGCTTAATGACACCTAAAGCACCTTTAGGTCGAGGCCTCTGGAGCTTTGACGTGGCTTTTAGACTTAAGGCTCTTAAGTGACTGTAATACCAGACAGGCTCAAAGAGCCATTTTAAAGACCTATGGCAGAAAGCTAGAAAGACAGCGCAGCAGTGAAGAGCACTTGTTGGTCTCATAGAGGGTCCAGGTTTAGGGTCCCAGCACCATTGTGGCTCACAGCCAACTGCAGCGCCAGTTTCTGGGAATCTGTTGCCCTCTTCTGGATTCTGAGAGCACCATATTCATATGATACACATACATACATGCAGGCAAACTCACACACTAACGTAAGTAAAATATTGAAACCATTAGTCACGAATATGTTAACAAATAGTCAAAGATTACAACATAGAAATGAAAAAATTAAGTAGCCTAGTGGTTACCAAATCATACTATGTATGTATGTACGAATATATGTATATAAAATTATTCATGATTGCAAATAACATATAAACACATACCCCCACACACGCACACACAGTCTAAAAGTTATTGTAAGATGTCTATTTCAAATTTTCATCAGCTAAAGTCCAGTACTTTAAAACTGTAACGTTCACAAGCTAGTGTGACTTGTCCTTTTGTCACCAACACATCTAGTACACATTTTAGTCTTTCGCTTCACACATACTGTTTACAGTTTTATACAGGTTAAAACATGGCATTCTTTATAGAGCACTAACATCCTTCTGTGATGCAGATACCCTGTGCTCACTAGTGCTGCTATTCATTCTTTTTACAATTTCATACTACTTTTTAAGCACGTGCTTATGCAAGCACATTCACTAAACATACCCACAGAAAGAAAAGGCCACTCTAAGGAAATATCCAAGAATACATTTGCCTAACATGGGCAGGAGGGTAGAAAGAGGTAGGTCATGAATATTTATGTTTTGAGACCATTGTGGATACCCAGTACAGAGGAAAACCTAGCCATTAAAAAAAAGAAAAACAACAACAACAAAAAACAACAACAACAACAACAACAAATGCACATTCAGGGTTTATTGTATGTTTTGTTTTTACTCATTTTCTCACCAGTCTGGTCAACACCCAGCAAAGACATCAAGTGGATGATATAATTTTTTTTTAACCTCTCAATATTTTTGATATGCAAATAAAAAGACCTGCCACGGTCCACACACTCTTGTCAATGAGACCTAAGAGCACTCAGACAGATCCTAAAGTTAAGAGCCGTGTTTGCACCAGTGGTGGAGAAAACCAAAAGGAGCTGGGGTCTTAACGCACCATACACCGGCGACGGTGTGGTGCTGGTGTTACGAGGAAACAACGCGAGCAGCTCACGGAAACATATAAAAAAAAAAATGGGCTGTGGAGAACCGGAGCTCCCCGTGAACCCGAAGGGGGTTCTGTGCACCTACTCACTGCCTGGGCCTCACAGCTACCAGTCAAGGTTTCCTGTCAGCCCTGGGCAGCTTTGAAGCAAACTAAATGGAACAGTTCTACATGTAAGAAATTTAAGCTCAAATCAGAGTCCAAGTCAGTACCACTGGCCTTCTAACGGTGAGGGTGTGAGGCTGTCTCCTGCACCCCCTGCATATAATAAAGAGTCTAAATCACACATTCTCCCAGAGCACAGCTCTTCCCAGCCCGCCAGACTGTACGTGACATCGCTGCAAAGCACAGCACTGGTAGAAACCTTCATCTTTATCCCAAAGTTATTCAGTGTCAAAATGGTCTTAACAAAAAGGAAGAAATCAGGATCTTCGCATCTTAATTCTTTCACAAGCCAATCCGCAGCTCCAGAAGTCATGAAATAAACACATCTTATCTGGTAGCCCCTCACCCCCAGCCTGCCGGACTCCAAGTGAAACCTATGCGTCTGTCTTACCTGTAATCTGACTCTGTCCTTGTGGATTAAAAGGACTTGGTGCAGAGTTCAGGGAGGGCCGTGGGTTCTGAGGCGGGACACCTACTCTCATACTGGGATGAGGAATGCGCCCTAAATCACTGAGGCGGTCAGAGAACAAACTAGGTTTAGAGTCATCAAGCTTCTGTCTGTGCCCTGGAAACAGCAAATCATAAAATAAAAGCATATTAATTAGCTGAACAATCGACCGTGCTAAATAGATATGTGAACATACATACTGGGTGGGTTAAGCCAAGGAGTTATCAATACTGGTATTTATTACGATGCGTCTATGCACACTGCTCTTCAAGCGTTGTGGGGTGGCAGGCCTTCCTAATTCTGTCTATATATGGAGTACTGAGGGTCCCAAGGGTGACATGAAGTCAAGAGCTCAAGAGGACTTTCGGGGTGCCTCCTCCAGCCTGTCAGAGAAAAGATGAGAAGACTGACCACTCACTCCAGGGCATCCCCCCTTCTTGTTTCATGATGGGAGAGGGAGCCTCATCTGAAAGTTCAAGGAGTCTGCTACACTGTCACAAAACTGGGGCAAACACATTTTTCAAAGACCAATTTCCATACTGACTATAGTCATTTTTTTTCTTTTTCATCTTATAACTGCCTACCTATTCCTTGATGAAAAATTAAAACTCAAAAAAAGAAAAACAGAAAGAAGAAAGGTAAAAAAGGAAGAGGGAAGGAAGGAAAGAGAAGGGGGTGGGAAGAGGATGGACAGAGAAGAAACACAAGAAAAGAAAGCCAAATTGTCTAGGGGGGGGGGTCTGGATATTTTGAAATATGCCGAAGCCCCAAAGCATATAGTGCACCCTGTTAAATCACACAGAATATATTTTATTTTAAGTCTACTACTGTAGCTGTGAGAAAGCAGAAAGCATTGCTGGAATAAACAGGCAAATGTGAATGTGTCAACCTATTATTTGAGAGAGGGGGTAGGGACAGACAGACGTACAGACAGACAGACCTTCCCCCCCCCTTCTTCTTCCTTTTGGCTTATTCAAGTTGTAAAGCAAAGAAAATCTGGGTGTTAAAGAAATGTGCAAATTAAAACAGATCAACGTGCTGAAACATCTTCAAAAATCACAAGCTCATCCAATAGAAGGGCTGTAGTCGTGTCCTGGTGCACCGGCAGGGTGCGGCTGTCCACCCGCCATGATGGCAGAGCTGTGCCAGGAAGCCCCTGTCTGCTGCTCATCGCTTTAGGACACATGCCCAAACAGTGGGAGCTGATTCGAGGAACGCTGCTGGAACAATGACTACCCTACGGGACTTTGTATTATAACTCATGAAAGAAAAGAAATAAAACAAAACACCAAACACTGAGTAGAAATAGCCTCGGCAATGGGGGTCAGTCACTACCCTAAGCGGTATGACACCTTACCTTCCCCGGCGTACAGGACAAGAAGGATAAGTGGGTCAGGAGAGGGTTAAGTTGAGCATTAGAATTCTCCAGCTATAAGCTGTCTTCATGAGACAAATTCCTTATTTTATTTGCCCCAAAATGTATTTTCCTGTCTCCTTTTTCATTGCCTACCCAGCCCAAAGAAAACAGACAGGAAGCCAAGGCTTGGTAATATGAGTGTAGCTGTCTCCACAGCCAAGCGTGTTCCAACTGGGCCCATTAACTGAAACGCACCCCCCACCCTACTTCCTGTCAGTGTATGTTTTGGGCATTGGATGTAACAGAAGGACTAGACCTAGTTGAAAACATGATCAGGAAAAAACAAAGGAAATTCATTGTTAATTGTTGTTTTCCCCCATTTTAAACAGATTACAAACAGATTTGAGAAACCTAAAGGTTTTTAGAGGTGACTCGAAACAGGCCCTAGACCCCCAACTAATAAATTATTCATAGATGAAGTGACTGAAATCTGCCCAGGCAGGGTAACTAGGCCCTGGCCCTCAACTATTAACTCTCTTGCCTAGGATGAAGCTACAGCCCTAACCCATGTAAAGTGAGCTTTCTACTCATCATGAGGTCCTATCAATGTTGACTTCCTCTCTGAGCTGCCTCTGGTGACTCAAAGTCCCTAGGACACTTAAGACATAAGCCCAGGGAGGTATCAAGGCTAGTTTTCAACTTAAGTAGAAAGAGTAGCCAAAGTTCAATTACAAAAATAATAACTTACCCATTACTGTAAATAAATGGCTGTAGCCTGCCATATTGAACTCCTATCTGTACAGCTCCCTGGATCCAACTAGTTTCATAATCAGGGAATTACTACACAGGAACTTCTCATAGTCAGATGCATGGAATCTCTGTCCTCTTTTCTTCTTCTTCCTGGCTCTGTCTCTGTCTCTCTGTGTCTCTGTGTCTCTCTGTCTCTCTCTCCCTCTCTCATTGACACAGCTACAAAAGCTTATGGATTTGCCCTTTAAGCTATTTTCTTAACAAGCTACTTTCTGGAGTGGCAAAATTCCTGAAGGCTGGAGAGAAGGCTGTGTGATCTTACACAGACTCTCATACACTGGGATGTGAGGTCAGCATGTGTGGATATATGGGCACATTTTTATTTACTCTTCCCTGTTCCTATTTGGAGAATGTAGGCAAGAGGAAAGGACTCTCTGAATAGCCCTTGAATGTGAAAATTTTAAGGATCAGGTGAAATTTTTACAGGCTCGGTGACTCTAGAGTTATCCTCAAAGACAGCTACCATGAATCTATAGACAACCAAGAGTAATCTACAGAGTTTCTATTGGAGGATGCCAATTTATAAAAGCATGTACATTTTCCGTGTTTCTCTCTCCTCTCCTAGCAGCCACCACAACCACAACAAGATTCTTACAGCACGATGCCAAACAAAAGCCAAACAGGTTCTTCATCTTTCAACCATGACAAATAGTGGCTGCCGCTAAACCACATCAGCACCCAGGCAATCCCTTCAGAACCTAAGAACACAGGACACAAAGGAATCACAGACTCATACAAGGACAGAGTAATTGGTCCTAAAGAGGAGCTATTCCAAGCAGAAGGCAGATGCAAAGAGTGGGTGACTTTTTGGTTACTGCTCTAGGGAGAAGACTCTAGGAACTGGAGAGGTGGCTCCGTGGATAAAGCACCCACCTGCCATGCATGCATAAGGACCAGAGTTCAGATCCCCAGAACTCAGTAAGTGTGGGTGAGCATGGAGCCCCACATAATTCCAGCACTCAGAAGGCACAGGCAGGGGATCTCTGGAGCAGAGTGGCTAGCAAGACTACCCCATACTGGTGAGCTCTGGGTTCCAGTGAAAGTGTGATCCCCTGCTTCTGTGACTAAGGTGAACAGCAATTGAAGAAGCCTGATGTCAGCCTCAGACCTCTACACACACACACACACACACACACACACGAACACCTACCTGCACGCACACGTGAAAATACATGATCATTCAAATCACGTATGTATGGGTAGGGCTATATGAAAGTACAGTCCCGGAACCTCCTATCCAACTGAACCTTCTCCAGTCAATCTTCTAGACTGGCTGAATAGGAGAAGTCTCCCTCAAGCTCTGAACAGTATGGGTAGCTGGATCCCATAGTGGATGGGTTAAATTAAATCTTAGAATAGGTTCTGGAGGAAAGTTCTCTTTTTAAAGTTCCATGTGATCTAATATGCAGGCAGGAATGAAAAACAACGGTCCAAGGTAGTCTGAGATTCAGCACAAATGCCACCTTCACACCAGTGACTCCTCTGTTTCTAGATGGAGCCCTACAGTTCTGAGGTTCCAGGTCTCTCTCTCCCATTGCCTCTTTGCTAGATTCCCTGGGATATATCTTAAATGCAGGATGCTCAAAATGGAATTCTTGAGTCTCCCCAAAAGATCCTCTTGTTCCAATATAGCCCCTAATGCCAGTGAACATCACTGGCCACTCAGTGGCTTACAGTCAAGAACTTAGGTGTTTCCTTAGTCTTCACGACCCACACACAGACCAGCCCCATGTCCTGACATTTCTGTCTTGATGCCTCCTATCTCCTTGGTTCTCTGCGTTTCTCTGGGTACAATCCTAGTCTCGGAGCCTACCCGCCTGTCTCTGAGGGTCTGGTACTATCTGCTCTGAAGTTTCCCAGGCCAGGACTTCCCTCTACTCCTGAGATAAAAACCTTGGTTTTTCTGTATGCCCCACTCTTTCTTATTGCTTACATCTAGAGTGAATGCCACCTCCTTTGAGAGGCCTGGCCAGTTTCCCATAACCAAAACATGTTCCCACCCTTTTGAGCACAGCTCTTCTTTATTTCCTTTGTGGCAGTTGTCACAATCTGTAATTATCTTGTATATTTATTTGTCCCTCCTCAAAGACTCAAAATCCCATGAGAATGAAGGCCTTGTCCCTTGTGTACAGCTGGATTCTCATCTACTCTGTGCCTCTTGTACAGTAGGTGCTCAATAAATGTTTAGGCAAGGAATGAAGATGTGAGTAGACTCCCCTTTCAGAGAAACACCTTCACGGGAAGAAAGATACACTGGTACAGTGTATCATACTACAATACCATCCCTTAAAGATGCTTCATGTTTTCTTGCAACATAACAAAGTCAGTAGGCAAAGCCTTTCTTTAGAAACAGGCCCTGATTACTGCTTCCTGGGAAACTGGACTAATGGACATTCATTTACACTAAAGCTCACTTGCTTTTTGAAAAACTCCCATTTCTCTCACTGTAACCATTAAGTTGAAACCCATTTAAAATTAGAGAGATAAAAGGGTAAGATGTCATTTTAAAGCAGTGTACTTCTTTTTTTATAATTTATTTAATTTTTTATTTTATGTGCATCTGCGTGAGGGTGTCAGACCACCTGGAACTGCTTACAGACAGTTGTAAGCTGCCATGTGAGTGCTGGGAGTCAAACCTGGGTCCCTTGGAAGAGCAGACAGTGCTCTTAACCACTGAGCCATCTCCCCAGCCCCAGTGTACTTCTTTTATGGATGAGGACCTTGGGTCCCCATGGGAGGACATGGCTTCCTCAAAGTCACATGGTTAGTGGTGTCTCTAATGCTTGGATTTCCTGATCACAGGCCTAATGTTCTCTTCCCTCCCATTGCCAACTAGCTTATTTTAGAATATAACAGTGCAGCAGAATTCATTCAGGGGAGATCATATCCAAAGTGAATTTTAAATGGAAAAAGGGGGGAAAAAGTAGTTTTCAGAAAAGATTTCTTTCAA